GTGACACTGCTTGAAATTGTGACTTTGTTCTATTTGGACTGTCTCTTTTAATAAAGCTGCTCAGCCTTGACTGATGCACATGCCCAATGTGGTTTGAGTGAATGCGGGAAGAACTAAGATGAAGACAGTTGAAAATTATTTAGAACCAGAATCACGTGGAAGACTGAAACTAATTTGGCACTTTGACCAGACTTAAGTAGGAAATGTTCATCTCTCAGCAACAAAAATTTTGTTGAAAGAGTTGTGAGCTGCAGCAGAAAGAAATGTGATCACATTGCCTGAGGTGAGCTTAAGATGGGTGTTCAAGATAGAAATCAAAAATAGAAAATAGGACTTTTTAACTTTAGTAAGGTCAGAGAAAAACTGTAATCCCTTGTTTAAAAGAAACAACATAGGAATTAGACGCAGTAACAACAATTAGAGTCAACTGTTTGAGTCTGAAAGTCTTTTGAAATAATTCATCACTTTAAAAATAAGAATTTTTCACTTTGGTTCACTATTCTAAGTGAATTATCATGCCTAGGTGGCTTATCAATGCTAAGGGCTGAAAAAATATTTGGTTGAACTAAAGATTCAAGCCACATTTGTAACAGCCCATGTCTTTTTGGCATAGTTGAGTTGTCATTCCAAAATAAAAAACTGTGTAATTTCAAATTTTATCATGGTTTCTGTTTTTATGAAGTACCTTATTTCTTTCAGCTAATGAAGATGAGGATAAAGATGATGACTTTCGAGCTCCACTCTATAAGAATGTGGAAATCAAAGGAATCCAAGTACGGATGAAATGGTGTGCAACGTGTCATTTTTATCGGCCACCACGATGCTCTCATTGTAGTGTGTGTGACAATTGTGTTGAGGTAAGAGATGCTGCTGTTAAGAACTTGTTGCTGATGTGAAGACAAACTGGCGTTCTATTTTGCTTGCATTTTGCCACCTACTTCCTGAAGAAATTTCAGATATGATGAATGCTGCAATCTCTCTATTAACTTTCCCAAACAATGATTACTGTGTGTGAATCTTGATAATGAGCATCAGTGATCTTATTTTGTCATTACAATTGAGCCTGAAATTGCCCGGATTGAAGGCCCACTTGCAGTGGGGATCTCCGTGTAGTGCTTAGAGCTGGAGCAATATTTTGTGGATCCACACGTGCGCCCAGAGTCATCTATTACTAACGCTAATTGTCCTGTTCCTATTACCATCCTGGTTTTGATCAGCTCTTTCAGCACAGACTGGAATTAACCCTGGGGCTTTTCTAGTCTGTGCAGCTGACAAATCCAGAGCTTCACCTAATATTTTTCATTGTATCAAAGCTCATCTTAATATATATATATGGTCTAGTGGAATACAAATAGAATAATTAAGACAAAGCTTGCAAATTGTGTCAGATGTGGACACCCCTCTCAAACTGCATTTTGTTGAAACTGGGGAGAAGAACAGCATTTGGAATAGGAAACATCTTGTTGAATGTCTAATAACTCAGCTCATCTCGGTAGTTTTGTAGTGACTTTTGAGCAATCTGAGGAGTTCTTAAAGGTACTGCTTAACATCATGGCCAAATAAATTGTCAGACAATGCTTTTGTGAATGTATAACGGTGTAGGGGCACAGTCAATGTTGGTTAAGTGGATGCTGTACCTGTGCTGCTGAAGTGATTTGTGTTGCAATTCTGCTGTTGGTTCCTTTTAAATTTTGACTGCTTAAAAGATTTTTTTTTAAAAATTGTCTTACATTTTTGTTTTGGTTCATTCTTTTACTTTAGGATTTTGATCATCATTGTCCATGGGTGAACAATTGTATCGGGCGAAGAAACTACCGCTACTTCTTCCTCTTCCTCCTCTCCCTTAGTACACACATGATTGGTGTTTTTAGTTTTGGACTGATTTATGTATTAAAACATATTGAAGAGCTTGCTGCTCCACACACTGCCATCACGTATCCTTTTGCTGCATTGCTATGTGGTCCTTTTATTGAGAAGCTGTTGAAACGCCTGTTTTAAATTTGAGAACACAAAGTGTATTCTCCACTCATCAAGTGGGTAGGTGAACACCAGTTGTATTTATATAGTGTCTTTAACATTCTAAAACATCCAAAGTTGCATTAGACAAAATGTGACCCCAAGCAGAAAGAAGATATCTGGACAGGTGAAGAAAAACTCAGTCCAAGTAGAGCGTCATAAAAGATGTCTTAAACGTTTAGTTGTTCTTGGGAGGTCAGTTAGCATAGTTGGCTGGATGGCTGGTTTGCAATGCAGCATGATGCCAACAGTGTGGTTCAATTCCCGCATTGGCTAAGGTGACCATGAAGGACTCTCCTTCTCAACCTTTTGTCTTCACCTGAGGTGTGATGACTCTCTGCTTAAACCACCACCAAATGTCTCACTCTAATGAGAGATGGTCCAGTGGGACTTTGGTGACTTTTCTTTTACTAATTTAAAAAACACCTAAAAAGTAAAGATTTTCAGATTTGCTTGATATTACTGACAGCTACAGACCAAGTTTTCATACTTGACTAAAAATATTGCAAAGTTAATATTAAACCAACTTGAAAACATTCTAAGGGAAATTTCTGAAATAATCTTTCATGAAATTCAATTGACTGTAGACTGTGTTTCTCATGGTGTTCAGCCATGATCCTACTGAATGGCAGAGCAGGCTCAAGGAGCTGAACTGCCTGCCGCCGTTCCTACTACTTATGGTCTTATGACCTTCTTTGAAATTAACAAAATATTAATCAGCATTTTCTGGTGAACTACCCTTGTTTGTTTTGATTCAAAATAAGAAGTTTACAAAATACAAATTCTTGCACAATTTTTGAGTAGTGATTTTAACTTGGAGCAATTTGGCAAAGAATGGCCCTTTTGAAGGATGTATTATTTTGTATAGAGCATAGCAATGATTTGAGTTTTAAGGAGCTTATTCTTGCCATTTCTCCTTACTGCATGTACACTGTTCACCCTCTTGACCAGAATTCCATTTGGCCTTAGGGTGCACATGTTAATTATTGACCATCTTTAACTTGTTACAGCATCACAATGAATCAGAATGTTCAGTAGCCTTGGAGTTATTCTTAACTTGGGGTCCCCTGTCCATCAATCTGATCTATTGGAAGATGGACCTGGCTTCTACAGTGTGCATGCGTGCAAGACAGTACGTTATTTTGCAAGACGTGTAAAATGGGTCTAAAAAATATCTATTGAGCTGTTCATTATAGATAAAGAATTGAATGAACTGAGCTTTGAGGTAAGGAAGCATTGAGTGTGAAAGAAGAAAGGCATACAACCAAGTATTATTTTACCTAAATAATAAGAGGCATTGTATTCCACAGTAATTCTTTGTGTAAAGTGCTTTGAGACATTGAAAATATATGATAAGATATTCTGTAATTGGATTTAATGCACTAGATTATGATGTAAGCAGATTTCACCTATACAATTACCACAGATGAAAGTGAGAATAAAAATGAGTAGAAGTGAGATATTTGTCAATAAAATGCAAAAGATTGCATTTTACATGTACACATGCTTACTCCCATGTTGTTGTAAGATATTTTGCCCTATGAATAGAAAAAAGAAGACAATCTTACATTTCTCGAACACATTCCATGACTTATTATTTCCTGAAGTGCTTTACAGTCTGAGGTATTTTTGAATTGTGGGCACAGCTGTAATACAGAAAACCTGGCAGGTGATTTGCATGAGCAATTCTCCCCACCCCCAAAATACACAGCATTGTGATAATTACCAGCTACTCTGATTTTTGGAATGTTGCATGAAGAACAATTTTTGGCTAGGACACCAGGGATAACTACAGTCATAGAATCCCTACAGTGCAGAAAGAGGCCATTCTGTCCATAGAGTCTGCACTGACCTTCTGAAGAGCAACCACCACCATGACCACCCTCCCCCACCCTGCTTTTCATAACTCTGCATTTACCATGGCTAATCCACCTAGCCTGGACATCCCTGGACATTATGGGGTAATTTAGCATGGCCACTCCACCTAACCTGCACGTCTTTGGGAGGAAACTGGAAAACCCAGCAGAGATCTGCACAGACACTGGGAGAACGTGCAGACTCCACACAACCAGTCACCCAAGGCTGGAGTCAAAACTAGATCCCTGGTGCTGTGAGGCAGCAGTGCTGACCACTGAACCACCAATGCCGCCTTCTCTTTTTTTTTTCTTCTCTCTTCTCTTCAGAATAGTAATGGATGAATGGAAATTGAGCACACAACTGAGCCATAGCTGACACGTCCAAAGGAAGGTAGGGTTTCCTGTTTTGGTTACCAAGTGTGCATCCATTACCTTTCTATGACATTATCTTTGTGTTTGTACTTTTCACTTAATTTCATTAAAATGCCAAATGTGGGTTGTGCGGTTATTGTTTCTGTTCAAATGTTCACTTGCCTTCCACTTACAAATTATTTTTGTTTGACTGTTTAAAAATTCTTGTAGGAATTGTGCAATACTGCATTTGCTGTAAAGTGCTTTGGGATATCCAGAAGTTACAGAAGTTGCTGTATAAATGCACATCTTTCCAATTTTCGTGCATGACTTTGAAGTTCTCTCATTAGCACACTATGTCATACAACTAATTTCTTCACCTTCAGCTGACGTCTGGTGCCAATTACCGTGTATCACTTTGTTGTCAGTATTTCTAATTTCTATTGATGTTTGTCCTGTTGTTGCATCTTGATGTTACGTTAGAATTCTATTTTGCCACGAGCAACCCTCCAGGAGCCAATCTTCTGAAAAAATTCATAACGTTTTACATGTGAACAATATGGAACAGTTAGCTGTTAGTAATGAGGTTGAAAGAGGTATGGAGGTATTGGAACTTGTGTGCCAAGTCAGTGGACTGGCATCAAACAAAATGAAGAGGATGGTGAACTGTTCTGTTAATTTCACGAAAGTCATGGGATTTTGGTGCTAAACCTCAACAGTGTTCAGGTTGCACTTGATCAATATCATTCAGGCTGAGGCACAGACAATTTTCAATCCTGGAAGCTTGAAGATACACTGTAGTGTTGACTTTGAGAAAAGGCGACCAAAGACACCAGAAGTATAAAAGGTACTAAATGGCTATATCATGTATGCTTTGCCCAAATGCAGTTTCTTGGCTTATTGTCAGATGATGTATCCTGAGCTATTTTATGTCAGTGGTGGCTTGCCATTGCCTTGTGCTTTCAGGAGCAGGCTAAGGCAGTAAATGCAGTCTACTACGCAGGAACTAAAACTGTGCAGTTGGTATTATTTTGAACTAAATGCTGCCATCTAACCAACAAAGCTAACTCCACCCCCCAAAAAAAAGTGTAGTGAAGATAAATTGAAATCTCCATTGCAGGTAAGGCATGACAATAGGAGAAGGGAAGAATGTGGAAAATGATAAAAGGTAATTTTAATTCTCATGTTAAACTTTTTTTTATTTTTTCAAAAAAATTCTATGATAACAAGGTGTGCGTATATATAGTCTCAACAAAAAGCTAACGGAATTGGCTCAGTGTGAGCACCTTTGTGTCTAAGTCTGAAGCCCATACCCTTCAAGCCTCATTCTGAGACATGAACACGTTATGCAGGCTGATATTTTAGTGCTGTGCTGAGCTAGTTTTATTAGCAACATATAGCCAGCTTGTTGCACTGCACAACTCTGTGTTGAGATTGATGCATGGTCACACAAAAAAGAAGCTTGTGCCTGGCCTACTTGTTCTTTCTGCCATCGGTTCCTGATTGCTGCAAAGTCATAAACTTTCTCATAGCTTAGCAAACATTAATGTTAAGGGAGTCCTGCAATGTGGGAGATGTCATTTTTCAGATGACACATTGAACATTCTGCCCCTGCAGGTAGATTTTAAATAAAAAAAGTAACCCGTGCCTTTATTTCAAAGAAATGTCTCTGGTATACTGCTCAATATTTATCCGTCTATCTCAAACAGGTTATCTGATAATTATCTCATTTCATTTAAGATCTTGCTGTGCACAAATTCGCTACTTGTTTCTTACGTTGGATGTGAAAAATCTACGATGTCCTGAGTTAAAAATGTGCTTATAACTGAAAGTTCATGCTTTTCTTGTAAAGTTGGACAATGGAATTTCTTCTTTTGCTTTCACATCATTTTGTATAATTTGGAAAGTTCAAGTTGATGTGTAGTGTTTTTATGTAAATGATCTCCGTCAAAGATTACAGAGCTCTTGAGCAATGGGGAAGGGAAAAAAAAATTAGCGATGTATCTCATTGCTGGTTTCTCACTTTCACAGTCAAATGAGTGTTGGTGTGAAGATGAGGCAAGAACAGGGAATGAATGTGATTATCTCAATCAAATATCATACTGACAATTAAGTTGATAAACAAGAAATAAACAGTAGGAGTTGGAGGGTTGTATAGGGTTCCTAGCACACAGAAGGGATAGAGGAGAATTAGATATTAAAATAAAACTTAATAGAAGCATTCTTAAAAAAAAATACATGGAAACTAATTATCCGCATTGAGTAGTTCAGTACTTGGTCGAAAGGAAGAAACAAGCACCCTGCTGTTTCAGATTAAGATGAGAAGTGCTTTTTCTCCTAGTCATGAGTGTTTGAATCTATTTTCCTTAGAGAGCAGTGGAGGCAGGGTCACTTTTTGAAATACAGGTAGATAAGACTAATCAGGAAGTCAAAATTATTGGGTTAGGCATGAATATGGAGTTGAGGTCGCAATCAGATTAAACATGATCTTATTGAATGACGGAGCAGACTAAAGGGATCAAATGGCCTACTCCTGCACTTCATTTGTACATTCATATTTCATATACAAATAAGACCAATAAGCAGGAGAATGTGAATTTTAAGTTGCTTCTCACTTTGGAGCAATTCTTCTATATGAAGAGTGAAATGGTTTTGTAGGAAATAGCAAACAGATGCATTGGATTGAAATTATTGGGGAAGTTTGTTATGCAACTTTTGCTGACAGCCACTGGTTCGAAGAGGTTAAAAAGATTAAATTTGTATGTACTGTGATTAATTTGTGTATGATAAATTAACCTTTACTCCTGTTGAATGTGATTTTTCCTTGACTGAAGTAAATAGCATGGCTGTTATGTGTATAGCAGGTCTTTTCTTCATTCCTGTTGTAGGTCTTACAGGATTTCATATGGTTTTAGTCGCCAGGGGACGGACAACAAATGAGCAAGTAAGTTAACCAATCAACACTGAATTGTAACTTTGGATGTATGAGAAGAATGCATCAAAACATCAATGTTCTCTCATCCAGTTTCTACTGTAATTTTACTGCCTGACTTCAGTCACTGGTACACTCAAGTTAAAGGTTTACAAATTGACATTCAGTTCCTGCTAATTTTTTTTAATATATATCTTTATCATTTCCACTTGGACCAAGGAGGACTGAACTGGTTTGTATACTAAATCAGCATCTTGTATTATAGGTAACTGGTAAATTTCGAGGTGGTGTAAATCCATTCACCCGAGGATGCTGTGGTAATGTGGAATACGTACTTTGTAGCCCTTTAGCTCCAAGGTAAGTCTATCTTTTAAATTTGTCATTCCTAAATCAAAAAAATGAATCTGACAACCAGCCACATTTATCGTGAGATGTGAATTTTAAGTTCAAATCAGGATTTCTTTCCTGTAAATTTAAAACTGATTCAATTTGGAACAGTACTTTTGTGGTGCAGGAGAAGAAACACAACTAAATTCAAGACAGTAGTTTGTATGGAATAAAATAAAAGTTCAGACATGTTTTAGTGTAAAGTTTTCATTAGGCCTGTTGAATGTTAAAGTTTGTCTCATTTATAAAACATACAATATGTGTGATGTCGCTAAAACAAAGTTTAAAGGTGCCATTTAACCTTGCATGAAGATGGCTGGTTTGGGACCAACAGGTTAGTGTCTTTTGCCTTTATTAATGCCAGCAGACAGACAATTTTCAATACATTTCTCTCATTCCTCCTACATGACAATTCACAAAATACTGCCTTTTGTATATAATAATGTAAAAATGAAACTCTCTGTAAACTGAGTTTTATTGACTTATCCTTTATCAATAACTTTGTTTGCTTAACTATTTTTCTTTTGTGCTTTTATGAACAGTATAACTCTGTTTTGTTCTCACCAATTGTTACTCGCTATTCCATATAATTTAACTTCTTTTAAAAGTAATTATAAGTTTTGGCATTGTTCCTGTAATACTCATTTTAAAAAATGAGCATTCCCAAATGTTTTCCTTTGCTAATTTTACCATACTGTTCTCAAATAATTGAAATTCTGTAAAGCCTATAAGCCAGTGTGCAACAGGATGACTTAAATCAAGTTTCTTATTCTGAAACTGAAACTGACCATTTCTGCTGGAGAACAGATTAAAGTTTTGTTTTTTTTTGAAAAAGCAAACCCAGTTTTGATTTGGTCCCTTCCCCTTCTCTCTACTTCCCCCTCACTTTTTTGATGGTTTGCACTGCCCTTAATAGGCCTCGCATGTAAATATTTAATTGGCAGCACGGATGATTACTGGTGGTAGAAAAAAGTGGGTAGAAGAAAAATCATGGTGATTTTTATGGGAAAGTCACTCAGTTGTGCAAAATAGCATTTCTGGGTAATTAGAAAAATGGAAAAAAAAAGCAGACCCTAAGACAAAAGGAAAATAATGGCAGACCCTAAGAATAAAGAAATTACAGCAGGCCCTAGGAAAAAATAATAAGGCAGATCCTAACAAAAAAAAAACCTTAGTTTAAAAAAAAGAAGAAAAAGCAGACCCTGTGCAGTAAAGGGAAAACAGTACAGACCTTGAGGGCTCTTGTGGTGCAGTGGTAGTGTCTCAACCTCTGAACTGGAGACCCAGGCTCAAGCACAAGCTGCTGCAGAGCATCTCTGAAGAAGTTGATTGGAAAATAAGTACGTTTAAAAAAAATCAAATAAAGCAGACCTTATTCAGAAAAGAAAAAAAGTATACAAAGCAGACCCTGAGGGCTCTTAGGTGAAGTGGTAGTGTCCCTACCCTGAGCCAGGAGGCTTGGGTTCAAGTCTCACCTGCTCCAAAGTTGTGTAACAGCATGTCTGAACAGGTTGACTTTTAAGCTATCTATAAAAGCAGACCCTGGGATGGGTCTGCAGAATTCTCTGTCCTGGGCTGGGGCTACCCTTTGTATGCCACAAATAGCAGCGTTGTTTTGGTGTTCAACACCCACCCAATGGTGTTCCTCTCCAGTCGGGCTTGCTGAGTTATTACAGCCAGGGATACCTAATTACTTCTTTCTTTACATTGCGTGATTCCAATGAGGTTTTCTTTGAAAAATAAGTTGAATGAGGTTGGAAAAAGGTTGGCTGAATGAAAACTATATATCACCGTGGTCATAAAATTTATAATATATTTATAATTGACAGTAAGCCTAGTTTTTAGTAAGGTTTATACTTCTATACTAATGGGCAACAATGAATCACTGAGTTTTATGATCAAACTGCGTGATACACCAAGGACAGTCAGATCAGACCTCATGGTATACTAAATCTTGTTAAGTATGTTGGGGAATAGTTACCTGTGAACTTTCTTTAATTTTGATGGTTTTTGATTCCTGTTCCCAGGTATGTGGTCGACTTTAAAAAGAAAGAGTTGGTAACAATAAAATCCCCTTTTGTCAGACTTCCATTGTCTGAAAGACAAATTGCAGTCAAGATAAATGACAATGGAATTCAAGACAATCTGAAAAGGACCAAGGTAAGGAGTCAAATTGTGTGTTTTAATATTTCAAATTCTTTTAGTATTGTATCCATTCCCCTCGATGGGCCAAATACCTAATTCTGCTCTTATAGCTTATGGTTTTATGGGTATCTATTTGAATGCAAAACCTTATGAATCTCGGGCCAAGTAAATCTTTAGTACCTTTGCAAATCATTAAGTTGACTGCCTGACATCCCTTGTCCACAAAAGTGTTAAGTGTTGTGTTTAGCTCTGAATTACCTTACTTAGAACCTTGCCTGACAGAGACCATCACACTTACTGGTGTACAGGCTGAAGTTCCAGGATTTATTAGTAGATATTGTGTATTGTTGAAAAAACATTTTTTGGCAAAAATTTTCTACTTGCACTCGTCAGGATATGTTGCAAAAAATGCAAGTTCAAGGAGAGAAAAACCTCAATTCAATAATCTTATCAACTTCTGACTTACAAATGTTCAGTGACCCTGTCTCAACCAGTCTCCGGGGAAGAGAGTTCCAAAGACTCCCAAGTCTGCGAGAAAGCACTTCTCCTCCTCTCCACCGGAAGTGGAAGACCCCTTATTTTCTTCTTTTTAACCTAGTACAAAATCTGGCTGTTAACTGTCAGTCAGCATTGATGGGTACATTTTCCATGGCAATACCTCTACCAATCACAGTCAACTTGCCAACCAACCACACTCTCCTCCTATGACATATGAATGTGGACTTTTCCGTTGACTTTTTATTCTTTTGAAACATCCTATATAAGGCATTGGCCAGACCACAACTAGAATACTGTGAAGTTTTTGACCCCCAAATGTAAGGTTTCAGCCCCATATCGAAGGAATTACATACTGACTTTGCAGGCAGTCTAGAGAAGATTCTGTAGGCTGATGCCAGATATGGGGGTGACTGTGTAGCAGAAAAGTTAAGTAGGCTGGGCCTGTACTCATTAGAATTTTAGAATGATGAGAGGTGACCTCATTCATGCATGCAAGACTCTTAGGGGACTCGGAGATGGACCAAGGTTGTTTCGCCAGGTGGGAGAGTCTAGGACTATAGGGCGTAATCTCAGAATAAGGGGTTGTATATTTAAGACAGATGAGGAGTTTCTCCTCAGCGGGTGGTGCAACTGTGGAATTCTTTACAGCAGAGAGCTGTCCAGCCTGGCTCATTAAGTACATTCAAGTGTGAGAGAGACAGATTTATCAGTAAGAATGTCAAGGCTTATGGTGAAAAGGCAGGAAGGTGGAGTTCTGGATTATTAGATCATCCATGATCTCGTATGGCAGAGCAGACTCAGTAGACTGAATGCCCGTTTCTGTTCTTACATCGTCTTTTTGTCCTGATGAGTGCAAAACAAAAAATTTTGACTGTCTTTTTAAAAGTAGTATTCAAGTTCTTTACTACCAAATATACTACTGTGGGGCATGGCACAGTTGCTCAACGGTTAGCACTGCTACCTCCCAGTGCCAAAGACTCCGGTTCGGTTCCAGCCTTGGGAGATGGTGTGTGTGGAGTTTGCATTTTCTCCCTGTCTGCATGGCTTTCCACCAGGTCCTCTGGTTCCCCCTCTCAGTCCAAAAGAGTGCAGGTTGGATGGATTAACCATGGTAAATGCGGGGTTATGGGGATAGGGTAGGGGTCAGACTCTGGGTGGGATGCTCCTCAGAGGGTTGGTGCATACTTGGTGGGCCAAATAGCCTTTTTCTGCATTGCCTGGGCTCTATGAAATGACTGTGTGTAATACTGTGGTCGGTTGGCTCGCCGAGCTGGTTTGTTGTGTTCTGCAGACGTTTCATTACCCTGATGGGTAACATCATCAGTGCAGCCTCTGATGAAGCGCAGTCGTGTTTACCCGCCTGGTTTTTAAACTCTGGAGTCTGTTGAGCTGGATTACCTCACTTCCGGTTTTCCTTCGCAATGGAGTGTATATGGGGTCGAGCTCTGTTTGTTGATGGCTTTCTTAGTGGAATATCAGCCTTCTAGGAACTCCTGTGCCTGTCTCTGCTTTGCTTGTCCCAGGATCTTGGTGTTGTCCCAATCAAATTGGTGGTTCTCCTTGTCCACGTGGATAGAGATGAGTGAGTATTGGCTGTGTCTTTTTGTAGCCAATTGGTGTTCGTGTATTCTTCTTGTTAATTT